CACTGTGTAACTGCCTCGAGGGTGCTTGACCATTTTAACACAACGTGGTGCGATCATCCCCCTTGCACGGAGTGATGCTTCTCCACCCCGCACAACAAGATCTACTCGACCGCCGTTGTGGTTACCGCCAAACAAAAAAAAACAGATGAAATCAAGAAAAGAAAACGGTAACCTGGTTGCCGAGTTCACGAAGTGAATTGGCTTGTTTTACAACTTCGTTGCCAAGGGACGAAAACCCAATCCCGATGGCAAGCACCGAGGGGCGGGCCGGGGGGGGCGGGGGGTACCAAGGCCTCATCCCCCCCCCGTACGAAGGCCTCATCCCCCCCTCCCAAACGCCACATAATTTTCCATATTAACAAGCCCATACAAAATCCTTTATATAACGGGGGCACATTTCATGCAAGGGGGTAGTAGTACAATTCACGTAGCCCCTGCTCCAGCGCACCGGAGCCCGCAGCCAGCCGCGGTACCGTCCGTAGCAGAGGAGAGAGAGAGAGAGAGAGAGAGAGAGAGAGAGAGAGAAAGAGAGGGAGAGGGAGATGAGCTTGGGGAGAGCGGTCACGATGAGCATAGTCTCCGTGGGAGGGAGATGGAGGGCGAAGGCGCTCGACGCGAAAGTGCTCGAAGAAACGGCGGTTTAAGCTTGTTGAGGGAGAAGGTGGAGGGGCTTCGTTGAATATTAGTAAGTACAATGATGCAAGGCAAATTCCAATTTATTCTGGATGGCATTGGGTGTTGTACGTGGCGAAGGTGATGCCACCGCCGTAGGCTCGTGGACAGCCCCTCTTCGGTATGTTGCCGGCTTGAGTAGGCTTGGAGTGATGACGTTTCGACGCATGGGTACGTATCATTTGGTTCTTCTGGTGTGTCATTTGGTTGTATTACTCCGCCATATATATTCGCCCAAGGTCAAATGTCGTGGACTTGTCGCAAAGGCTTTGAGAAGTTCTGAGTTACTTGTAGGTGAGGGGTGGCCCCGAAGCACTATTACTGCTGTACTGAAAAGATTTGAAAAATCAAGTTTGAAGTGTCCCCAGCCCGTCTCAGCTTATTACATGAAGTAGCACTCTGAGCCGAAATCTATGCGACATTTGTTTGCGGGTTAGTTACCGGAATAATACCAGGGACATTTGGAGTTTAATATGTCAGATGTGATTATAGACCGGAATACGTTCACAGCAATACTCCTACAGCACACACATGATGAATGAATGTGATATGCAACCCTGAAAAAAAGGGGATGGATAGGGTTATCATCCACCCCGGGGCAGAACGAACGGGGAATGATCAGGATTTTTCTAAATATGGAAAATTGACCCCTGTTTCAAAGTGCTCATCTGGGGCAAGATGACTTCCATATTTTGGTCATACCATGGTATTATGTTCGTGAATTTTCTACTGGCACTCTGGCCTTCTATTTCAACAGCATTTTTTCATACTATACAGTTTTATTCAACTTAGGTGGCGAAAATAGGACAAAGAATAACTGAGCTGCCACTTTTGGCCAAGAAAAACAAAAACGAAAATAAAATGGTACCGAAATTAATTTTTGCTCAAATGGAAAAAAACGTTAGCTTCTTGCCGGGGCGCGAACCCCCGACCTACGAAAGAGACGTCCAATCAGATATACAGTATGGCTGAGGGTGATAGCAATCTACACCTTCCTGTAACAAGGTCCTGCGTGCACGTCGTGTCGTAAACACCACCATACGCAAGCGCACGGGATGGGGTGGGGGGGGGGGGTACTCATACTCGTGCATGCCGTAGTCCTCAGACCATTGACCTCGCATCCCTACAAAGCCGGGACGGAGCACGCCGGGTTCTCACCGGACCAGGCCCTCACATCACCAAGCGCGAAGCGCCGTGAGATATCCGGCGAGTCGCATGAAGGGTGCGCTGCATCCTGCTAAGGGTTTTCGGCATCTTGTGCTTACTTCCTTGCGTACGGATGACAGCTGCGTATGAATAAATTTATTTCCTGGTGCTTTCACTTCCAGAGACAGTTGTAAGCACTGTGTAACTGCCTCGAGGGTGCTTGACCATTTTAACACAACGTGGTGCGATCATCCCCCTTGCGCGGAGTGAGGGTTCTCCACCCCGCACAACATGATCTACTCGACCACCATTATGGTTACCGCCAAAAAAAAAAACGGAGGTAAAAAAAAAAAAAACGGTAACCTGGTTGCCGAGTTCACGAAGTGAATTGGCTTGTTTTACAACGTCGTTGCCAAGCGACGAAAACCCAATCCCGATGGCAAACACGGGGGGGGGGGGGCAAGCGCACGGGATGGAGAGGGATAAAGCCATGAAAGCCTGAACAAAAAGTTCCATGAAAAAAAAAAAATCACACCCCTCCCGGGAATGCGGGGGTCGGTGGGGGTTAGGTGTCGGAAAAAACTTTTCTTGTGCGTCCTTGTCCGGGTATGTATTTCAATTTCCCCCCGGGGTACTAGTCTTACCACGAGTTCCCGCCGGGGGCGATGTACTCCCTTATACTCTGAGTCGATTTTAGTGCATATTTGAGCACAATAAGCATGATATGGGACGGAAAGTTCATTCGCAGATCTATCGGGTACTCCCTGGAAGGCGGGCCCTTCCTTTCTTGGAATCACTCTCGGGACGAGACAAGCTCCCTCGGCTGCTGTCCTCCTTGCTGTCTTTTTTCTCGTCGCCTTCATTGCTCATACGTTTCTCCTCCCTCTGGTTGTTGGAAGCTTCTTCATAAACCTTATCCATCTCAGTTTCGCCACTCTGTGCGTGTGGTGTGTGAAGCATCATTGTTTTGCACAACCCCCGGGGGGGGGGCTTTGTAGGGATGCGAGGTCAATGGTCTAACGACTACGGCATGCACGACT